CAAATCTCTGGCACAGCTCTGAGTTTTCACTCAGAAGTAATTGTAACTGAGGTGACTGTGACTTAAAGGATGGCTAATAGCAAGTGTTTTGATCCCTATGGGATCAATTAAAATCCATCTCAGTCTTCACCACAGTTAGTATGAAAATCTGTAGACTCCAAACCCCAGTACACACAGAGTTACCCTTGCTCTTTTCAGTGACAAGACACTGTATAAAATGTATATGGTCCATGACTGCACAACAGTCACATAAATAAATCCATGTCATAAAATCACTTAACTAGTGACCATGGATTTGCAAATGCATTCACATCTGGTGTGTTTTTTGGTGGATATTATTTATGTCCTCATAATTCAGGACTAAATTCATAATTGCTCGAGTGTTACAGAGCCTGAAGGGAACTGGACAAGAGGAATAGGAGCACAAAGAGGTGGCCTTCCAGGGCTGTAAGAGGAAAACCAAAACAAACAAACAAACAAACAAACAAAAGCTATTACCTCACCACTTTAAAGATTTCCTTTTTCATTTAACTGAAAGAAGATAGTCTTCTACTTGCCTGGTTACATACACCCCTCCTCACTCCCAGGATTGTCAACTTCCCTTGGATTGTACCTACCTGACACCACCTGTGCCCATTATTTGCATTTCCCTTTGTTCAGTATTATGAGATTCCTCTCTTCCAATTGCTTCAGCCTGTCAAGGTCCTTCTGAATAGACACATACAATACCATGACAGCTATTCAATAACATCATTTCAAGCAACAGTCTGTGTAAGTGGTAGCAAACCCCCAGAGAGAGGAAGGTTCAGAGATGGTCAGAAAGGATGATGTGCTCAAGAAGCTCAGAACAGAACACAGGAAGTGATGGCAGCTATCTTAAAGGGAGCTGAACTTAACCCTAAGGGAACCTTTGCTTTGGATAAACGGTTGTATCAATGGAGTGGCACAACCGGTTATGTAAATGATTTTCCCTAAAAGAACCAGTAGAAAGTATAATCCTCCCAAGTCAGACCAGTCAGGGTGGAAGAAAAAAGGGATGTGGGGTGTGTGTATAAGGCTCAGGCCAACATAGGGTAGAAAAATCAAACAATTTGGTTTAAATGGGCTTGTGTTGGCTTCAACCAACATAATTCTCCCCAGTGACTGGGGATGCTCAGCATCTAGAGACTGGTAATGATAGAATCACAGAATGTTAAGGGTTGGAAGGGACCTTAAAGATCACCTAGTCCCAACCTCCCCTGCCATGGGCAGGGACACCGCCCACTAGACCAAGTTGTTCAAGGCCTTATCCAATCTGGCTTTGAGCACTAGCAGGGATGGAGTGTCAACGACCTCCCTGGGCAACCCGTTCCAGTATCTCACCCCTCTCATAGTAAAGGATTTCTTCCTAATATCCATCTCCTCCTATCCTAATATCTATCTCCTCTTTCAATTTGTACCCATTACTCCCTGTCCTGTAACTACAGTTCCTGACAAGTCTCTGGCCTCCCAGTAGGCCCCTTCAGATACTGGAAGGTGCTGAGAGGTCTCCACACAACTTTCTCTTCTCCCGGTTGAACAGTCCCCACTTTCTCAGCCTGTCTTTGTATGTCTTTCAGTCATCTTATCAAATTCGTGGCCTCCTCTGGACTTGCTACAGCAGTTCCATGTTCTTCTTATGTTGGGGCCACACAGTGTTCCAGTTGGAGTCTCACAAGGGCAGAGTAGAGGGCAGAGTAGAGGGGGAGAATTGCCTCCTTTGCCCTGCTGGCCCTGCTCCTTTGGACACAGCCCAGGATTCCATTGGTTTCTGGGCTGTGAGTTCTCACTGCCAGCTCATGGTCAGTTTTTCATCACCCCCACATCTTTCTCCACAGGGCTGCTCTCAATCACTTCTCTGCCCCACCTGTTGGTGTGTCTGGGATTGCCCTGACCAGGTGTAAGACCCTGCACTTTGCTTTGTTGAACTCCATGAGCACAGACCCAGCCTGTCCAGGTCCTTCTGGATCCATCCCTTCCCTGCAGCGTGTGACTGCACCATCCAGCTCAGTGTTGTCACTGAATGTGCTGAGGGTGTCCCACTGTCCTTGTCCCCATCAAGTTGTTCAACAGGATCTGTCCCAGGACTGACCCCTGAGGGACCCCAATGGTCACTCCACGTGGACAATGAACCATTACCCACAACTCTCTGTGTGCAGCATCCAATCCACCAATGCTGCAGCCCCTACGTGGAGGGTCACCAAATCTGTCAGGCAAATGGGAATTATCTTTGTATTGTGATTCAACTGTATATTGTAATTGCTACATTATGTTTGTCCTGTGATTTCCATATTCTGCTATATCACTCTGCTAAATGTGTGCAATTACTCTGTAATTTCAAATATCTTCAAAAAGCTAAAACTGACATTAAAACTTTAAATCCTTTGTACGTAATATCCAAAAGAGCCTGAACAGAGAGTATTGGACCCTGGCAGTCTGGAAACTTCCCTTTAAAAGACTAAAACAACTGTTTCTGAATACTGGTTGTGACAGTAGCACTGGTAAAACAGTAAAATAAACTGCAGAAAATATCAGAAAAGGGAATACAGATTAGAGAAAAAAACAAGTGTAGCAGGATGCTCTGCCTGGAGTGGGGGTAAAACATCTCAAACATCTCAAACAACATCCCATTTGCAAAGCTATCAGCGGGGAATGGAGAAGGGAGGTTGTGCTACTTTTGGTGTTGAATAAAGCTGAAACCAGTCTGACTCATCAGTCTCAGAGTTAAGCATCCTGACAGCAAGGTGAAGATGTGGCAGATCTGGTAAACTTCCTGAAAAAGGAACCCTCAAAGTGTCAAGCAGAAGCTGGCAAAGGAGAAAGGTGAGTTGAAGACTGAAGTCAATGACTTGTCCGGTAGCGTGAACTCCACCTTCATAACCAATCACAGGACAAACAGAACCATCACCTCTTTGTAGTTATGAATATTTTTTCCATTCACAAGTGAAAAAATTTTATGCAATCTTTTCCAAAATTTGAAAACCGAAGAAAGTTATTTAAGTACAAGTTGACAGTATCCCATCCCAGTTTAACAAATTCTGAAAAAAGTCTGGAGTTTAATGGGCTCATGAGATGTCAAGAAGATGGAAAAATATTCAGAAAATTCACAAAACTCAGAGCCCTAGAATGATTTTGGGACCTGATGGTGTTCTCACTGTGGGAAGAATATATGTGAAGTGCTATTTCCTGAACTAGGCAGACAAAACCCAAGCATCATCGATCTTCTAGCACAGAAAGAAACAGAAGAACAAGTTATCTGTTACAACTTCTTGAGTTTGTTGCCTTCCCAGTTGATTCCCATTACTCTAGGAGGTGAAATAATATACAAGATGCCAAACTGACAGAGAGAATGATATACTGCAAGTGTGATCTTTGAATCGGTGTACTGGCATCCGTGTCATGCTCTTTAATTAACATGTGCAGAGGACCCAGGAGGGAAACTGAAATGTAAACAATCATTTTGCAGCTGCAACTAGACCCATAAACACAGCAATAACGGTAAAAGTGGATATTGGATGGGAAGTTTCTTTCAGCTATGTGGATTTCAGCCGCTAAGTTTTCAGTTCCCATACAACTTGGAAGACATTATGTCAACAATCACGTTTATCAAAAAGTTGCAGATCCATCTTGGAGTTAATGTCATGTGATATATAAAGAACAACCAAGTCTATTCTTTGTTAAGCAATTACATAATGCAGTTGGAGAGGAAAGAGGAAAGGAAAATCTCTTTCTCTCCCTTTATCCTGTTTTGCATGCTAAAGGATGACATTTTCTTCAATGAAAATTCTACAGACACACAATATTACCTTTGAAACAGAAATTATAAAATCTCTACATTTATTTTTCAGAAGGACATTGGCAGTCTCGAAAGAATTCTTGATCTCAGATGTCTCAGTCATACATGCAGTGTTGGAAGCACACAAAAGTTTTTTAGAACAATGAGTTGGGAAGACTGGTCACTCTCTCTGACTCTTCTTACAGTGCTTCAACTCCCTGATGTTTGAGGGAAAACATGAGTCTTCAGAATATGGTACAGAATCAAAGCACCTCATCCAAGCTCCATGGAAGAACTTAGAATAGCAGATCCTATGTACCTCTTTGCAAAGGAAATGAAAATCCTCCCAGGAGTTCTCTACATTTCTGTGGAGTCTGTGTTTGTGCTTGGGAAGGCTGGAGAAGGTGTGTTTGTGACCTAAATCCTATTCTTTCATTTGGAAACTACAGCCGCAGTCCAAGATCTCTACAATAGCAGCAGATTGCCAAGTTAAAGCTCCCAATACACCTCAAGGATGAAGGATGTAAAATGCATCCTTAGGAATTCCTGCTCATGTGACACTATCGAAATTTCTGCTGGACACACATTTGAGCAAACCAGCACAGCCAAGCATGGAGAGCAGTAAAATAATACCTTTAAAATTGAATTTCAAATCAGAGCCAATAGGCAATACTTCAGAAGAATGTAAACAATGTAATTAAATGTATGAAGCAAGGGGGATAATCTGATCTTTTGAAGGTAGCCAGCAAAAAACTAAGGAGTTGTAAATAGATGCAGTAACACAAGCATGATATGGTTGCCCAGTATTAGAATTAGATCATACTGGATTGTTCCTATTCCTTCTTTCCAGAATATTTCTGAAGAGAATCTCTCCAAAGCTCTTGTAATAATAATCCTTCTCACTGCTGCTGAGTCCTGAGACACACAAATCTTATATGTCAAACAGCAATTCATAGTCAGGAGAAGAGAAGCCAACAATTCCAAGACCCAGTCCTGCTGTCCTATTTGCTGGACAGCATTTCCTCCTTCCAGATTCCTAGTCAAAATATTTATAGGAGTTTTATTCACATAGCTAGGAACACTTCAGATATTTCTAAATATATCCACGAGCCCGAATGGGAATCATGCACTCAGTCTACTTTGCCAAACAATGCTTTGCCAAAAATTTTTTGACCTACGAAAGAGGAGGAGGGAGTTGAATGAGCAAACCAGAACCTATAAAAGTGCTCGTAGGACAAGTCTGTTCTGTCTCTGTGGAAAGATTAAAGGTAAGAGTATGGAGGACTGGGTGCTGGCAGAATCTCACTGCATTCCTACTGCTTGTAGAACTGCTTTCCTTAAAGAACTGTCTGTATCAATAGACATTTTGATTCTGCATTCAAGTCACCAGCATATTTTTCCCCTATGACTTATCCTTGGGAGTCTGTGCAAAGATAAGCAAGTTGCATTTCTCTTTTTCAGTATTGACCATCTTCCAGCCTGAGAGTCAGCTGGTGTCACAAGAGGTAAGACTGATTTATCTACTCCATAGGAATAGACTCCAAGTTGGTTTTTTATATGCACCTGTAAGGCCACTTTCCATACCCCTTTACATCTATGCACACTAGTGCAGCGCAATTCTACCTAAGCTGTGCTGTCTAAAAGAGCAAATTTCCTTTCATAACTGGGTTGGACACATTTGCCTGGTACCTGCTGGGAAATAATTGACCTCTTACGCACAGAACTCTTAAAAGCAAATTGCCTGTAGACAGAAATCCAGGAAAGAGAAGGTGAAAGACCAGTACATGTATAGTTAAGATTTTGTCAAATCCCTCTGAATGTTATTTTTTTTTTTTTTTTTTATTTTCCTCTTTTGGTACAAGTTAATCTTAAAAGATTAGCCTGAACTGAAAAAGACAGAAAATTGGAGGAGACAAAGTCTGATTTATAACTGAGGAAAAATGTTTGCATGGACAACTCATACCTGCTTCTGCTTACTCCACATCTTTTTCCTTATGTTGCTCCATCTCTATAGTCGATAAAAATTACATGGTCTAAAATGGGCAAGAGAGAAACAATATAAGTGGGCTTTAATAATTTCTATAAGATGACTTCTCTTGGTATTTCTTCTGCTTCTGCTTGGTATCTCTGCTGCATCTTTGAATAGTCTTGACTGAGCCAATCAATCCAACTTTTCCGTATAGCTTACTGAAACACTACAAGATCTGAACTGAACATGTAAACTGCAATAAAAGAGAAAAAATTAACCTTAATCAAAGAAATCTTTCTTCTTTAAGATCTAAGTAAATTAAAAAACATCTAGGGTGAAAAGCAGGTAGGACAGAGGCAGACTGTAAGAATAGGCAGAGCAGAAAACCACTAAGACTCAGGTCTTGGGTACAAAGGACTTTCTTCCTTCCCTCAGCACTCTGCCTCCGCTCCAGCTCTGTGCCTTGCTGCATGTCATAAACCACAGCCATGTCGACAGACGCCGAGATGGCCATCTTTGGGGAGGCGGCT